TGTGTGTGTGTGTGTGTGTGTGTGAGAGAGAGAGAGAGAGAGAGAGAGAGAGAGAGACAGTCTTCTTTTTTTGGGGGGGAGGGGGGGAATTTTCAAATACCCCCATAAGTTCAGAATCTTCAGATATATGTCAAAATGTCCCTAAAAGATATGGGCACAGTGCCATGGCCTTTTGGGCTGACATATTTGTGTTATGCCCTTGTTAGGCAGGTGTGCAAATTCGCTTGGCCTTTTGCAATTTGCAAAGTTGGGCAGAGTCCGATAGGGGTACATTGCAAAGATGGGTTCCAACTGATGGCGGGGGTGTTTCTCAAAATGTTCTTGTCATCGGTCCACTTGTTAACCCAATGATTGGAAAATTCCTGAATGACAAAGTTTGTTTTGGCCTCCGATGGCAGCAGAATAAACACTGCAAATTTACTAAATTTGTTTACAACTACCATGACCTGACTCTTACCATTTCTACTCTTAACCTTAGTATCCATGAATGGGCCATATGTTATCGGTAATGGCTTCTATAGACCTAGGAGAGCGTGGAACTTTGTTCCTCTGACACAGCTTGCAGCCTTGGACATAGAGTATACAGTCGTGTTTCATTCTGACCTATGTATACGACCTTAGGAGGTTAGCATAGGTCTTCCTCCAACTGAAATGGCCCTCAAAGTAATAAGTTAATAACACTCCCCTAGAATCAAACTACGAATCTCTTCATTGTTTGGGACACACAAATGGTCCTCAACACCAGTTTTCTCAAATACAATCCATCGTCTATGCAGTAATTTGGGACTTCATGTGGTGCGTCTTGCACTCTCCTTACAATCTCAGTATAGACCTTATCATCCAGCCTCCTTGTGTTTTTGTTGCAGTTTTCTTCCAACATCTGGGTAAGTAACTCTAGCTTCAAAGAAATCTATGCATCTGCTTCATGCATCTACAATGATGTTGTACTTACCCTTGAATGGCTTCAACTCGATGCCAAACTCATTGATCTCAGTGGCCCACCTAGCTAACTTATTGGACATATGGCCCTGAGTCTTTAGCCAACGTAGTGTCTCATGGTCGGAGTACACTTTAAAGTGTCGTTCTAATAGATAGTTAACCACGTGTGTTCCCTTCTAGTCACTACGGACGCAAGCCAGTATGGTATCGACACGTGGTTAACAGGGGGTGTTATTTTCGGGAAATTTTGCCCAAACGGCATGATCACAAACTTGTCGTGGCCACAGCGAGTCCTAAACGTCGTTTTGTGTTGGGTTTCGGGTTGTACCTCATCCTGTTTGTACCCCGGTTTCAGTTCAATCTTCGAAAAATACTTACGTCCTTGTACCCTGTCCAACAGATCATCTATTCTAGGCCGCGGTTCTGCATTCTTGATAGTAATAGCGTTCAGACCCTTATAGTCGTTACACATCCTAAGTTCGCTTTCTTTCTTATGCACAAATAGGACTGGTGCTTCATATGGAGAAGAACTTGGCTTTATCCACCCCTTCTCGATCAATTCGTTTAGTTTCTTGCGCGGCTCCTCCAATTCTTTGGGAGGCATCCTATAGACTGGGCCCTTAGGAATCTTACTAGCGGGTTCAATCTCTATACGATGCTTAATCTCCCTCTCTACCACACCAGTTGGGGCCTCTCCCACATCAACGGATTCTTAGAGCAGCGACCATACTTGGGGCGGTGTATCCGCTTCCTCTCTCTTACCTTCGCTGACCGGCCTAACATAAGCCACAAGCACTTGAGCAACAACATTCTCTTTGACTACGTGTTTGGCAAACRTAGGGRCACTCRTACAACAAAGCGATAGGGCAAACTGGACKTCAGACTCGTGGAACAGTCKAGTCTTATTCTTCCCACTTTCGTGACTGGGTAGCCAGCAGTCATGCTTGCCCATCTTCACTTTGGCCTTCACGACCTCTCCCCAATCTGTCCCTAATAATAAGTCAAAGGATACATTGTCTTCCATTAGAAGGGTCAAGGAGTGTAGAACTCTCTCTATTTTCTTCCCCACCTCCAACCGGAAGTATGCCTTGATCCCTTAGCATACTCATCGACTTTCATCTTACGATTGTCTAGCAGTTTGCTTACTACTACCTTGTCCAACTTCTACACTTTCATACCGAGATGGAGTTTCTTCAGTCCTTTCCTACTC